TCCAACTCGCCTCAGCTGGCCTGGCCCACAGGCATGCACCTCAGTGTGTCCAGGGAGGTCCCCAAATGCAACCCGGGGCCCTTCCCCGTATCAGTGCATTACTGTGGTGCCACCGCCACCACCTGGCCCTGGTAGCGCACATTTAAATCAAGATGCACCTCCCCAGTTTACATTTGTTGTTGTTTTTAATTTCCTAGAGAGTCTGTGCGCTCACTGGGGCGAAAGAGAGAGGAAAGTGAGAAAAAGGGTCTCCCAGGGAGGACTGCCATACCGCAATCCTTTCTCCTCCATTCTGCTCTCAAGATGTGGAACAGGCACACACGAGCCCCGGATGTTTCTCCAAGATGCCGGGTCCAGGACTTGAACCAAGCAGTCAAACACGTGGGATTCGGCCACCTTAACCACCACACCACCGACTGGCCCTATTATTTTGATTTTTGCAATGAACCCAGTGAATTTGAAAATCAACTAGATCGTGTTTGAAAAGCAAGTGAACAGGAGATACTGAAGTATGAAAGAATAGAACTAAAGCTTTGAGAAGTAGAGGTAAGGTCATTTATAATAGCTATCCAAGTCGGTTTGTCAAAAGCAAATGTTATGTAAGTTGTGGAGCAGTCAGTGCACAACATTCACCAGCAAATATTTCTTCTCTGCTTACTTGGAGTTTAAAGTCCAGTAGAAAACCAGGAAGATCATTAAAATGTAATAAGTACTCTGTCAGATAAAAGTGCAGTGCTATAATGAGAACCAGGGGAGGCATTCTGACATCCAAGGACATTCAAGAAGAGGCCTTCCTGGAAGAGGTGATGTGAAGCTGATATCTGAAGGAGAAAGAGGAAGAATAAGTCCCTACAGAGAAATTCCATATGCAAAGCTGAGGAACTTGATGTGTAGAATAACTAAAAGTGAAAATGGTCAGAAGGATGCAGAATTGAGACTTGAAAGGTGAGCAGGCGCAGGTTATTGGGAATCTCCTAAGCCCTGACTGTGTCTCGAAGGCAGATGTGTGAACAAGAATTGACAGATGGGTGCAGTATTTTCAGCCCCTCTCTTGGTGTGTACGACCCTTGGAAGCAAGGACAAGACAGACTCATTAGAAAAGTGTTTCTCAGGGCCAGCAGGTGGCGTAGTGGTTACGTTGCTGGGCTCCCACATAGCCAACCATGGTTTGAGTCCATGACCCGGTGCCTTGAAACTCACGCTGGGCACATGTGCATGTGTGCCCAAGATCCCAGGAGAATGGAGAAGGGATTGCAGCATGGCCATCACCCCTGGGGGGTGATTTCTCACTTTTCCTCTGTCTCTGTCTTGCCTCCTTCCCCCACCCACAACCACATGCACCCTAAGACAAAAACTTCTACCAAAAAAAAAAAGTATTTTTCTGAATATTTTGACAAACAAAACACTTTCTACCTGTACCCAGAATGTACACAGATCCTGATGGACACCCACACACTACTGAAACAGGTTCTCAATACTTTTCCTCATGTGAATCACTCTGATATTTAGTCTTGGACTTTCTAGATGGTGCAGCTGCATGACTCACCTCAGCTGATTTGGCCACGCATTACCAAGTCACGGCTCAGGGCTGCAGAAACCTAAAGTTAGGAAGTTACCGCGATTCTCCAGAGGAGAGAATAGTAGGGTCTAGAGGTTCAGAAAGGTGCACAGAAAAACACTGAATGACTCCAGAGGAATTGAAGAGGTAGGAGAATCCGAAGTAGTTCAAGACAACAACCCACCAGTCTGTCTTGAACATGGGGTAGGTAAGGGAGCCCTGTGCTGAGATGGAAGACATTAACTGGCAGATCTGTTAGGAGGGTAAAGATGGTGACCATTTGAGAAATGCCCGATTAAATTTTTGCAAGCACGAATGATGCATCCCTTAATGTGAGGCACCTCTGAAGAAAATCATTCTGTAACTCCAGAAAAGGTCCAAGTTTTACTACAAACGGGAGCAAAATGGTGGAGATGGGAAGGAGGGAAGCAGTCCAAGGAGAGGGCGCCCGTGTGATCCTGAAGATTCTGTCGTGCTAGGAAAGGCCAGGCAAGCCCTGAATCCAGGAAACACACATCCGGGGCCGACTCACCTGAGCTTTCCTGTGGCTGCTCTTAGGGCTTTTTATCAAGCTGGAGATAGCTTAAGGTTAACTTTGGCTTTTCATGCCACAACCACACGGGCAGGAGTTAGTTTCTTTACACATACAGCTCACATCAAATGAAGAAATCACAATTCCCAGTTTAGGAACGTCACAGACGTTTCTTAACACACATCTTATAGAAATGGAAATACCATTAACTTTATTCTTTATGCACCCTCTCTAAGAGCATTGGGTCAAAGGGACTTTTCTCCTGCCTCTTTTCACAGCGTCCACAGCTCCGATCCTCCTCCTTCTAAATCTTTTATTTTGCAGAGCCATAGGGAGTGGTGGCAGCCTGTTGCTAGTTGAAGATTTTGAACAATAGGTGTTTCTGAGCCGGGTTTATTGAAACGGTCTTGTCTGTGTCCTGGGGGAGATTGTAAATGAGATGTCAACAGGAGCTCTTTTGTGTGGATGGCATTCATCCTGAAAGCGAGGAATTCCCTTACTGTGCGAGTATTTAAAGCAGATCTGTTGCTGCTTTTGCTAAAACTTTTTATCCAACGGCCGGAGCTCACAGCAATGAATGAGTCACTTGGTGTGATTGCAACTTCCTCTCCTCCAAGGCAAAGCAATGACTCAGTCATTTACATTTACAAAGGAAGGCTCCTAAGAAGATTTCGTGGGTTTTCATCAGCTTGAGCCTCTTTTCTTGACCCTCACGTGGGCCTGATCTGTCAGCAATCCTGTTAACCCCGGGCGAGGGGAGTTGAGCAGGCTGTTTTTCTCACTCCCAGGAAAACTTCTTGCTGTTTTGCTCACTTTCTTTTTTTAAATCCACGGAGAGAGACAAACACAATTTCCTGCCTTAAGCCCCTTTTCCTTTCTCCCGCCCCCTTTTTCGTAAACGACAGGCAATTTCAGTTTACTACAGTTACCACAGGCTGAGGTTTGACTAACTCCAGCCTTGGGAGATAAAGCAACCGTTTTATTACCTCTCCGCCAGGTGCCCGAGGGTGACAAGACTTGGCTTTATCAAGTGACCTGACAAGGTTATCAGCAGTTGCAAGTGGGCAGGGCTTCAGAGTAGTGGCTATCAAGTGCTTCCCTTCTTTGTGTTCTGTTTTCCAACCTTTTATTGATAGTTCATGTCAATCCAAAAACTAGCCCTAGTTTCTTCAAGTTTTTCCGCATTCCTGTAGCTGCTCTTTGTTCTGTTGTGTTCTGTTTGGAGCTCCTCAAGCTATAGTCAGAGCTGTGTCATTGGCCACTGGGAACCTATTTCATAACCTGAGGATTACATTTCAGTCCTAAATATACAACATATGCGGATTTTAGTATCTTCTGATGACCCGCCCCCCCCACACACACACACCAAATTACATCTTATTTATTTGTTGTGATTTTTCAAGCTGCTGGGTCTGGGACTTGAACCAGTCAACCAATCAGCACCTTAACCACCACATCACCCGCTGGCCCCCCAAATTAAATTTTATTGCCTTTTTTGTCTGTAGTTCCTTCTAAAACTAGAATGAGAAGGCTTTACAAAGGGCCAGCAGGTAGCGTGATATTAAAGTGCTGGACTCTTACATTTGGCCCCGGTTCGAGTCTCAGACTAGCAGCTCAAAATTCATGCCAGGTACATGTGCATGCATGCCCAAAATCCCAAAAGAAGAAGAGAGGAGAAGGAACTGGGACATGGCCAACTCCCTGGGGGATAATTTCTCGCTTTCTGTCTCTTTGTCTTTCTGGGAAGCCCATGCACCCTATAGCAAAGTATCTGTCAAAAAAAAAAAAAAAAACTGGAAAACGAATTAAAATTTGAGTATTTTGTTGCAAAAAAAAAAATCCATACTTTTTTTTTTATAATATGCTTTTTCATGAACTTCTTGAAAACCCCTTGTATAATCCACACTAGGAGGCAGAGCACTACCTGTTTTAGATGAAAATATCTAGTTCTTGATGAATTAGGTCTGTAGTTTACTAATAAATGTTTACCCACTTATCAGTTGTTACATAGGTTATTTCAGTTAGCAATGGGTTGGCAATGTTGTATAAAAATATACATTTTTGAAAATTAAGTCCAAACTGTGTGCAGTAGACAGAGCTTTAATGAGTGGAGAGTAAGCCTGCGGATAAACTTTTATGCTGGTGTCTTGAGCTGCTTTAGAACAGCCCTGCACCCAACCTGGACCTAGCATGGAGCCGCCTTCCTGTCAGAATAAATAGTGGGCCAAGGCGAAGAATGTTGGTGTTATTTTTCTATCTGTGGCATCAGTCTGTAGCCTGAGGGTAGAGGATAGAAAGGAGAGGTGAAAAAAGAGAAAGATGGAAAGAATGAATTAAAAAATACATGCTCCCAGCCTCTTAAATGTGATGTGTTTATCTATAAGGACACACCAGACTGCCACATTCAGTAATTAATAGAGACATCACTCCACGTTGGAGAAAGCCAAGTTAACAGCCCCTTCTAGTGCCCTATTACCATGATAATAACCCGACAAGGATGTTTCTCAGTACAGTGCATGAGACACACAGTGATAAGCCAGTTCACTCAGAACTCCAACAGGAGAGACAGTGTCAGCGGTTTTATCAGATCCAGGGGACAGCAAATGGCGTAGTGGTTAAGGCACTGGACTCCCACTTGCCCGGCCGTGGTTAGCTCTGGATCTGGTGGCTTAAGACTCACACTGGGCACATGAGCATACATGCCTCAAATCACAGGAGGAGACTAGAGAAGGGATTACAGCATGGCCATCCTCCCAAGGGGTGATTTCTCACTGTCTCTCTCCAGCGAAAGCACACACTCTATAGCAAAAACCCTAAAAGAAGAAAATATCTCTTTTTCTTTAAAGTCTAAGACATTAGATTTTAGTATACCCACCTCCACTCCACAGCTACCTATGCAGACACAGCTCGGAATTTGAGCCGCCTCTGCAGGACACCTGGGCAGGAGCTCTCACAGCTGCAGAGCATCTGATGAGGAGGTAGGACATCATTTCTTCCTCTGCAAATCTGAAAGCCATTACCAGGGGAACCCATCTTGGAACTATTTACAGTGGGACCACACTACCTCTCCCTGCAGATATGTCCAAATACTCCATTAATCCCGACCCCACTGGGCATGCCATGTGTAGTAGCTTTCTATAATCCACAAAGTCCTGAATTCCAAGCACATTTGGCCAAAACAGTTTCAGATGAGGGCTCATGACCCCAGATAATTTTCTCAAAAGAATTCAAAGAAGATTTTTTTTTTTTGAGAGGTTTTTGCTATAGGGCGCATGCACTCACCACAAAGTCAGAGACAGAGAGATAGAAAGCGAGAAATCACCGCCCAGGGGGGATGGCCATGCCACAATCCCTTCTCCTCCATTGTCCTCTCGGGATCTTGGGCACACACACACATGTGCCCGGCGTGAGTTTAAGCCACCAGGCCTGGGACTTGAACCGGGGTTGATTATATGGGAGTTCAGCAACAATTTTTTTTTTTTCTTGGTAGAGAGAGATTTTTGCCATGGACACATGTGCTCACTGGAGAGATACAGACAGAAAGCGAGAAATCACCCCCAGGAGGGATGACCATGTTGCAGTCCTTTCTCCTCCATTCTTCTCTTGGGATTTTGGGCACACATGCATCTTAAGGACAGTATAAGGCAGCTGTTTTAAAGATAAGTGATTAGGTGGAAAGAATCAGGTTCTGATTTGGTTCCACCTAGGAGAACTTTGATGGTGCACCATGGGGCCTCCTCCTCATCTGTGGGACTGAGATTGTTACTGAACTCAAATCAGGTTCGCTCGCCCAGGCACTATAAAACCAAGCCATAGGCACATGGTGTGATGAAGGAAAGTACAGCTTTATTGCAAAGCATAAAGCAAGGAGAGCGGGCGGCTCATGCTCAAAAGACCCGGTCTCCCCGAGATGTTCCCCACATGCGTTTTTAAGGGCAAAATTGGGGCAGAGGTCCCTGGCGCATGATCAGTTCAGTGATTGGTTCAAGAGGGCGTGATCATCTCGTGGGCACTCTTGATTGGTGAGGCCTTAGATAATCAAATTCCTCTTCAGGTGTCTGGAACCCTTCAGCCTGGAGTCTCTGAGCTTACAACCAGCAGTTTCCAGCCTAGAAAACATCTTATACATTGAAATGAAAACCTTCTTTCCTTCAAGTGAGAGTTTTAGAGGTCAAATAGCCTTCACTCATGGTCCATGTTGGTCATTATCATAACCAAAGTCTGAAGACTTACTCCTTATTCTGGGCCATTACAATGCAAGTGGACTTTATATTTCAGGAACCCTAGAAAATACATTAGGGGGGCTCTTGCTCGGTTTCAAGATCATCACCTCCTCTGCAGGCTTGTTTTCAGAATTTGAATGAGAGACCAGCAGGTGGTGTAGTAATTAAGGCACTGGATTCCTACGTGGCCCACCATGGTTCAAGTCCCAGACCTGGTGGCTTGAAACTCACGCCAGGCACATGCACATGTGTGCCCAAAATCCCAAGAGGAGAATGGAAGAGAAAAGATTCAAGTTGGCCATTCCCCCTGGGGAAGTGATTTCTCACTTTCTGTCTCTCTATCTCTATTTCTCCAGCGAGCACAAGTGCCTTAGAGCAAAAATCTCTCAAACAAGCAAACAAAAAATTTAATGAGCTATGGGTAAATTACCCCGCTTTAGGAATGCAATGCTCTGAGATGTGGAGACCACACGGGCAAGTCCCAGGGAGGCCTCCTGTGCACGCATGCCTGTGATCCTGGCTGGCTGAGGCTGGGAGTAGATCAAAGTATGAAGACCCTGGAAGGGATGACTGTCTCTCTCCTTGTCTGTCTTTACCTCTCATCTCTCAAAGAATAAATAAACTTTAAAAACAATATTTTTGGGGGACCAGCAGTTAGTGTAATGGCTATGTCGCTGAATTCCCACATAGTTGACTGCGGTTCGAGTCCTGGACCTGATGGCTTAAACTCACGCCTGGCATGTGTTCGTGCGTGCCCAATATCCTCAGAGGAGAATGGAGGAGAAGGGATTACAACATGGCCATCCCCCCTGGGGGGGTGATTTCTCACTTTCTATCTCTCTGTCTTTCTGGTGAGTGCAAGTGCCCTATAGCAAAAACCACTCCAAAATAATAATAATAATTTGGGGGTGAGCAGGTGGCGTGGTGGTTAAGGTGCTAGACACTCCCACATGGCCAACCATGTTCAAGTCCCAGATCTGGTGGCTTCCTTTCTCCCTTTCTCTCTCTTTTTCACTTTCTCTCTCTCTTTCTCTGTCTCTCTCTGATCAAATTAAAATAAATGAATGCATAAATAAAATTTTTAGTAAATAATAATAAATTTGGCAAATAACATACCTGATAGAGAGGTCATTTTTAAAAAAGTATTTAATTTTATTATTTTTTTATTTTTTTAAGAGATTTTTGCTATAGGGCATGTGCACTCCCCAGAGATGGAAGAGACAGAAAGTGAGAAATCACTTCCCCAGAGGGGATGGCTGCCCTGCCATCCTTTCTCCTCTAGGGATTTTGAACACGCATACTTACGCACCTGGAGTGAGTTTGTTTGTTTCTTTTTTATTGTTTAAAGAATTATTTATTTAAATTTATTTATCATCATCATTATTAACAAATTTGCTATAGGGCACATGTGCTACAGGACATGGAAGAGAGAGAGAGAAAGTGAGAAAGCAAGCCACCAGGTCTGGGATTTGAACTGTGGTCGGCCATGTGGGACTCCAGCACTCCAACCACCATGCCACCTGCTGGCCTCCCTGCATGAGTTTTAAGTCACCAGGTATGGGACTTAAACCACAGTTAACTACAAGAGAATCCAATAACATAATCATTATATAATCTGATGGTTCCTTATTATTTTTTGAGTTATTTATCTAATTATTTATTTATTAGTAGTAGTATTATTTTCTAACCTGCTATAGGGCACACATGCTCACCAGAGAGAGAGAAAGAGAGAGAAAGCAAGCCACCAGATCCAGGACTGAAACCATGGTCAGCCATGTGGGAGTCCAGCACCCTAACCACCACACCGTCTGCCAACCCCATTGTTACTATTTTTAATTTGCTATTGGGCATGTGTGTTCACTAGAGAAAGAAAGAAAAGGAAGTGAGAAAGCAAGCTGTCAGGTCCAAGACTTGAACCATGGTCATGTGGGAGTCCAGTCCTGAATCACCATACCACCAGCTAGCCCCATGAGGCATCAGTTTAAAGTACAAAGCAAGGATCCTGTTGTTTGACTATGGGGCTGGTGTCCTTTCTGGGCCAGCTGAGCTGCCATAGCTCGTGTTCCACAGGTTAACCCAGATCATTTTTCCTGTTTTTTTTTCTTTGAGAAAGAGGGGCTTCAGGGAAGACAGAGGAAAGGAGTATGATGAATAATTAAGTGCCTCACTACAGACAAAGAGTGCCCAAGGCCTCCCACATGGCCAACTTTCCAAATCCACAAAATTATTCCTCATCATGCTGCAACCAACAGGAAGCCATGGTGGAGGCATTTTCTTTTTCTTTACATCCCCACAAACCCTTCCTTTTTGTTGTTATTTTCTTTTTAAAAATTGTTTATATATTTATTTGTTAGGATTTTCCAAGCTGCCAGATCCAAGGACTCAAACCGCCATGTACGAGTCCAACGCCTTAACCACCATGCCACCTGCTGGCCCCATGTACCCTGTTTTTCCAGGACCTGTGTTTGCCTTTTGCAAAAGCCACACCTTGTCAAGTCCTCATTCCAGGTCTACTGTTTATTTATAGGGTGGTAGCATTGTGTCTTTTTTTTTTTAAAAAAAAGAATTATTTATTTAACTTATTTTTGTTATTTTAAATTTGACCAGGGAGAGACAGAGAGAGAGAAAGTAACAAAGCAAGCCGCCAGGTTCAGGACTCAAACCATGGTTGAGTCACCATGCAACCTGGTGGCCCCATCATCATCTGTCTTAGATTGGTTTGTCTTCCTCCAAAGCCTGGGAAGTTGGCCAGTGAGCAGGGGGAACCCATCAGTCCACACTGACATCCTGGGGACCTGGCCCCAGCAGACTCTCCCTGCATGTGATGCATCCTAGTTCGTACCAGGCCACTGACTACATAGCACCTCACTTTCTGAAGGGAGACAGGTCTGCCGTGTGTGCCTGACGCCCTGTTCCCATCTAGAAACAATCAGCTTCTCCAGCCTCAGGGTAAGGCATGCTACTTTTTCACCACACATACAGCAACATGGCAGGGAGACTTCTGGTTGTGTGATTCCACTCCAGATTTTTCCTTTTATTCTGGTCGCCAGGGTCCCATTGTGCAGGTGATACTAACTCATGAAACGAGACCAAGAGATGAAGAAGGTTCTTTGGCTCTCAGATGTCCATTCTGTGTACAAGCAGACAGAGCGAGGATAATAAGAAACCAAAAGATAATCAAGGGTGAAAGGAACAAAGAAGAAAAGCAGATGCACAGGGAAAAGGCAGCTAGCATCCTGGTCCCTCACACAGCCATCTGCCAGTGCCTTTGGGGAAAGCCAGAGAATGGTGGGTGTTAAGAGGACAATCCGCAGATGACATCAGTTGGGATTCAACATACTAGCTCCACATCAAACGTTGGCCATTCATAATTGAACTTGGCTGGCACTTGGCCAGCACCGAACACAACGGGGCACTGGTGACAGATTATATGAGGATATCCCAGGATACAGAGAATGGCTTTGCCAAGTTCATTGTACCTCTGACTCAGCGGATGATTTCCTTTTTCTGATTGGGAGTCCCTCTTTCTCTAGAAAATTTTTTTCATCCTTGTTTATTCCTTCACATAACAAGTACTTAGTACTAATATGTCCTACCTGTGTTCAAAGTACTGTGGTTACATCCATAAATCAAATAGACAACAGTGTCTGACCTTTGTGAGTCTTACAACCTTAACGAATTTCTCTTAATCTGGTCACAAAAAAAGAAAAGAAAAAGAAAGAAAGAAAGAAAGAAAGAAAGAAAGAAAGAAAGAAAGAAAGAAAGAAAGAAAGAAAGAGAGAAAGAGAGAAAGAAAGAGAGAAAGAGAGAAAGAGAGAAAGAGAGAAAGAGAGAAAGAGAGAAAGAGAGAAAGAGAGAAAGAGAAAGAAAGAAAGAGAGAAAGAAAGAAAGAAAGAAAGAAAGAAAGAAAGAAAGAAAGAAAGAAAGAAAGAAAGAAAGAAAGAAAGAAAAGAAAAAGAACACCTGGGGACCAGCAGGTGGCATAGTTAAGGCATTGGACTCCCACATAGTCAACTGCAGTTTGAGTCCCAGACCCGGCGGCATGTGAGCATGTGTGCCCACAATCCTGAAAAGATAATAGAGCAGGACTTGCTGCACGGCCATCGCCACTGGGGGAGAGGGCGTCCTCACTTTCTGTCTCTGTTTCTCTCTGTCTCTCTGGCAAGCGCACGTGCCCTATAGCAAAAATTTCTCTCAAAAAAAACACAGTCAGGTATTGTTGCTGAGTATAACACCTACAAGAAGTGAAAGGAAAAAAAAAAAAAGAAGTGAAAGTTGGTTGATGAAAAGCTTAGAAGAAAAATTTCCTTCTCTGTTTCTGGAACCAGCTCTAACCCAGCTTTCTGAGTATGCTGTCTTTCAACAAGAACCAGTCTGTCCTAATCTGTGGTGTTGGTAGACCAGCTGCCCAAACAGGAAACCTTATATAATTCTGTAGCCCTGACCTTGGGCCCTGAATCTTCCCCTCCTGTAAACAGTCCATTCAATCCAGGAAGACCTGCAGACTCATCTGGGTCACATTTTGAAAAACACACGTTTCAAATGTTGAAAAAAAAAATCCCTAGGTCTAAAAGGAAGTGAAATATCTGACTCAATGGTTAAAAAATTACTTTGTAAAGTAATGGAACAAATGGAAATTTATTCTCAACAGATGAAACTGCCAGGCCAGTCACTCGTATACATGTATGACTCAATAGCACCTGTTAGAAAGGCTGGGAAAATGATCCATGAAATCCTGATCCCATTCCCTACTGGAAGGAACAGCTCTGTCTTGCAAATTAGTAAGCCGGATGTTCTAAACACCCTGCCTTCATCGTGTGTGCCCTAGTTCTGTGAAGGCATGACTCACCTTAGCGACTGGTCAAATGACTTTTACTCAGAGACCCAGGTTTGTAATCTTTAGTATTAAATGGTCTAGGTAAATACTAGCCAAATGTCTGTCTACTTTCAAGATACTCCTTTGAAATGACTGATGTCGGGCAACAACTGGTTTTACATATGGAAACCTTCAATTGCTCGTATTACTTAACTTGCTGCCAAACTTCATTCCAAGTCCACATTACAAGTTTTAGAACCTAGCCTCTGGATCTGGGCCTTCTAAAATGACCTTCCCCCCAAACATAGTTTAATTTCCTCTAATTTAGTTAATTAACGGAACTTTCTGAAGAGAGCAGTGACTTTGATCTAAACCTCTTTCATAGCTCCCAGTTAGCATCTCCAGAGGGAAATAGAGCAGCTGCCCTCTCTTCTCTGGACCAGCTGGAGCGCCAGAGACTCAGAACTGCAGAGACTCAGAACAGAGCAAGACCTGAGGCAGGACCATGGGAGAGGAAGAGGGCAGGTTCAAAACACTGCCTGTGGCATTTACGTGGGTGTCTGCCCCACACAAAGATAAAAGAGTTAAGGCAGGGCTTTGAGGCATGCTCTCTGGGAAGCTGGGCCTGCGGTCCAGAAATCCGAAGTAATTCTTACAAATAAACTCTCTGGAAGCCAGCAACGTGTTACAGATGCTGCCACCTGGAGAAAGGTGTCTGCATGTGAAGTACAAATTCAGCTAAAAATGAAAAAGGCCCTTCCACCCAGCAGGAATCCTCAGTTTGTCCTCTGTTAATCCTCACTACCATCCGCCCCACCCGTGGCTGTAACTGGCACATGAAGGAAGAGGTTGGGTGAAAACGGCCACAGCAGTTCTTGCTTTTTAACTCACCACTAGCAGCTGCTTTAGAGAAGAAAACACACACACACACACACACACACAATTCCCAGAAGTTTTTATCCTGAGACTAAAGTAACATGTTTAAGGTGGTAAGTTAAAAAGCATGGCATTCTGAGCCTTGACGTCCACTCTGTATGCTTTTTGGAAGACAAGTCCAGCAAAGACGTCCACTCCTTTGGGCAGAGCGACTTACCTTGTAGCTGTGCAGCCGGTTTCTAAGTACGTAAGTGGTGTTCCAAACTTGGCCACAAGGGGACACTCAAGAGTAGGACTGCCGCAGCAATGCTTTGTTTTCTCAGACTTTGGGTTGGAAGAGAGAGGGTGGGTGTGAAGGGGGGGGGATGCAGCTGGCTTCAAAAAAAAAAAGAAACCACTTGTTCCCTGAAGCCATGCCACTTGCCATTTTCTGAGTCAAAGGTTGCCACGTTACCTGTTGCCAGGTTCCTGAGTGTGCCTGTGGAAAATGTGGGCGAGAAGGGCGCAGCACAGATCCTCAGCGTGCTGGGCTGCAAGCTCTTTGCCTGGGCCGGCGCTGACATTTGGGAAGCAGCTGCTCGAATTGCCTGAGCATTGTTTGGTTGTAGTTCTAACAGAGGAGTGGCTAGGACTTACATCATTTCCAGGCATGAAGTGCCTGGGGCTTTTTTTTTTTTTCTTTTTTCTATTTTAATGACTCTGACTTTCTGATTCCTCCCTCCCTGGATCTTTGTACAGTACACACACTGTGCAAAACAGCCTCACCTCAGGAAGCCCAAGGTCTGTAGCAACTTGTTAAAACAACTTGGGTGCCTCTTGAAAAAAAAAAAAAAAGTTGTGACTCTGAAACAAAGCCTTCCATTCTTCCTGCCTTCTGAGAACAATGTTGTGTTTGATTAGCGGCCCAGCGGCTGCTCTGAAAGATCTGTTCTGCTCAGAAGAGGCGGCTGCTATCAGTTGAATAGATCTCTGAGCCAGACATGCCGAGGCTTGGGGCATTTGTCTGGCATTAGGAAGTGTCTGGAATACTAGTAACTACCAACTGGCATGTCCTGAGACTGCAGGAGTTATTATGCCACCACTCCCTGACTCTCCACATGCCCTCCCTCCCCCGACACACTCGCAACAAGCCTGCTCTTTTCTGTTTGACAGAGGAAAGTGGAGCTAGTCATCTTTGTGGTTTCTGGGGAGGATGGCCTTAGTGGAAACCATTCTCATACCCACCTCCTTTGAGCCAAAACTAACCCAGAGACAGCACTGCGGGAAGCCTTGTGTGCTCACAGAGAAGGCCATGGGCTCACTCCCCGTCCCAGCAGCCCCTGATCGCTGCCGTGTCAACACCAACCGCCACGCTTTGGGTGGCCTGGAACCGTGAAGTTGTAAATATTTTGAAACAAGGTAGTGATTTTTCCATGTGTATTTGTTTTGTGGAATTTTTCGGCAATATTTTTAAAGTTGCAGCTGGTTGGCTCAGCCATGGTGGCACAAGACGTAGGGCGCCAGTGCCCAAATGGAGCCACAGCGAAGATCCAGGTTCAGTTCCTGGACCAACCTGAACATGCTAGGCATGGGCGGTGCAAGCCTGTAGACCTAGGTCACTGGGAGGCTGAGGTGGAAGAGCAAAGTGAGACCTCAAAAATCAGTCTCTCTCTGGGAACCAGCAGTTAGCGTAATGGCTATGTCGCTGGACTCCCATGTAGTCAACCGCGGTTCGCAACCCGGACCCAGTGGCTTAAAACTCACGCCGGGCGCATGTGCGTGCGTGCCCAAGATCCCGAGAGGAGAATGGAGGAGAAAGGATTGCGGCGTGACCATCCTCCCTGGGGGGTGATTTCTCGCTTTCTGTCTCTATGTCTCTCTCTGTCTGGCGAGCGCACACGCCCTATAGTGAAAATCTCTCCAAAAAAATAATCAGTCTCTCTCTGTGGGGACCACTCTGTGGTGGAGTGGGAAAACAAAACACTCCGTGAGGCTGACCCATATGGGAAGGTTCTGAGTTCATGTCCAGAGACCTTCCTGGGTAATCCAGGCACGTGCACGCCCAATGTCCCAGGGATGGCTGAGGCCAGTGCTATGTCATGGAATCAAGGCCCTGCTCGGAATACCTGTCTCTCAGTGACTGTCTCCCGTTGTTTCCCTCCCTTATGGAAGAAAGAAACTGAACAAATTAGTCTCTCTTTCTCTCATAAATAAATCATTTTATTTTAAAAAGTTGCAGCGGGGGGCCAGCAAGTGGTACGGTGGTTAAGAGTGTTGGACTCCCACAAGGTCAACCGTGGTTTGAGGCCCAGACCTGATAGCTTGCTTTCTCACTTCCCCTGTCCCTCCATCTCTCTCTGGTGATGCACATGTCCTATAGCAAATTAAAATAATTATAACAAATAAAAATGTTTAATGAATTATTCATTTAATTTTATTTATTCAGTCATTTATTTTAATTTGACCAGAGAAAGACATACACAGAGAGAAGGAAAGTGAGAAAGCAAGCCACCAGGTCTGGGACTCGAACCATCATCGACTATGTGGGAGTATCCAGCACCTTAATCACCAGGCCATCTGCTGGCCCCAAATTTCTTAAAAAGTTGCAGCAGGTACCCCTTGTTGACCACTCCAAGTTCATTCATGCACTAAGCCTTTCATGATGGTCCTGTGGGGTGCAGAATGCTGTGCAGGAAGGAGTTTCCCGTGGAGAACCTCAGGTTTCACTGGACAAGGTGTATAATGGAAGGTGTGCTGGGGAGGACTAGAGGTGCTCTGGGCTCATGAGAAGAGATGGAATTTGGAGCTCTGGGTACTGTGACGCTACCATTTAGTACCTATATGATTCAGGGATGTTCATTACCTGCTCTGAGCTTTAATATTTCCATCAATCAGATAGACATACTGGAATCTTTTTTTTTTTTTTTGGGGGGGGGGAGGTTTTTGTGCTATAGGGCACGTGTACTCACCAGAAAGACAGAGAGAGACAGAGACACAGAAAGCAATAAATCCCTCCCTGGGGGGACTGCTGTGCCACAATCCCTTCTCCTCCATTCTTTTCTCGGGATCTTGGGCATGCACGCACACGCACCTGGCACGAGTTTAAGCCACTGGGTTTGGAACTCGAACCATGGTCGACTACATGGGAGTCCAGCGACGTAGTCATTACACTAACTGCTGGTCCCTTTCTCACATGTGAGACCATGTCTATTAGACTCAACAGCTGGTATAAAGTAAGAATTTGTGTTCTGTTTTGATTGGAAACATCTAATGGCTGGACTACTCTGTTTCATCATCTTTGTTGTCACCTGGATTTTTTGCTTTTACCCAGTGAGAGACTCGACCAGCCAGACCACTGGTGACTGGCGTTTTGTGGGAGTCCAGCCTGTGTAGCCATCTCCAAGAGGAGTGTGGTGGCTGGGACTCATTGTTAAGTGCTGGATTTCCGGGCCTACGCGGCTGCAGCAGCAGCGGCGGCAAACTTATCCGTCAGCAGTTGTGTCCTCCTCAGTGCCAGACTCGATGCCAGGACATTCATCATCACTACCGAATAGCCTCGTTGGTAACTTTCCCCGGGCCTCCTTTTTTGGCTTCTGTTTTCAACTATTTAGCTTCACTCTCAATAGTACTCTACACCTCAAATTCTTTTCTAGATTTCACTCATATTTATAAGGCCACAGACACTCCAGTTTGAAAGAAATCTTGTTACCTGGTTCAGCCTCCTGTCAGATGTTGATACAATTTCTGTAACTCCCAAGCCAAAATATGAGCTAGTCTGTGTGGAAACACTTGAAAGACTACGACTCACTTCCCAGCGAGATCTTTATATTGATCTGTGGACACCTGTTGACCAGGGTTTTGTTTTTTGTTGGTTTGTTTTGCTCTAGGGCAAGTGTGCTTGCTGGACAGAGAGGGGTTGGGGGAGTAAAACAGCACCCCCGGGGGAATGGCTGTGCCATTATCCCTTCTCCGTTCTCATCCTCAGGATTTTGGTCACGCACTCGCACACGCCCAGCATGTTTTTCATGCCTCTAGGTTGGGACTCAAACCACGTAGTTGGCCATGTGACACCCAGCCACCTTGGCTACCACGCCATTGGCTTGCCCTGGAGAATTATTCTTCATTCCATACTGTGGTTTCTTCATTCCAACCTTTACACAATAGTCTTCCAAATAATTGGAAACCTTCTGTTTTCCTTCCCCTACAAACTATGCATCCCCTCACCTTAAGCTATGCCTCATAAAAAAATGGGTTTTCTCTCCTCAGAGCACACTGGTATATTTCCTTAAAGGAAGGTGCCCGAAAGGAAATAGAGTACTACTATTCTATTTACATGTGCCTTTTCAGAAATGGTCATCTTACCTAACATTAAAACCATAAGTCTAGGGCTGCCCTACAGCCTGGTGGTTAAAGCAGCCAGATCCCACATGGCTGACTCCACAGTTTGAGCCCCAGACATGCTGACCTGAGAAATATGCTAGGCGCATGTGCGTGTGTGCCCCGAATCCCAACAGGATAGAGAAATGCAGAAGATAGTGCAGCATGTCTACGCCCCTGCAGGGGTGCTTTCTCTCTCTCTCCCTTTCTCTGTGTCTCTCTGTCTCTCTCTGACGACCACATATACCCTCTGGCAAAAAATTTTTTTTAAAAAATCCAGTCTTTTTTATTCTGTATTTCTGCAGTATACTCTTTATGTCCCAAATTTAAGTCCTTTAACATTTTTTTCTTTTGGTGTCTACACATAATTTTGCTTCCTAACACAGCCCATAGTTTTGAATTACCTCTTTCATATATTCTTAACCTCACCTCGACTACCTCTGCCTTGTCTGGATTTGCAGATGTTTGGTGTCAGTGCTTCTCAAATTCTCTCAGGCAAGAGACCAGTTTGACTATTTGATCTTCAGTCTGTTGCAGATCAGTACCTTGGTAAGCTACAAAAAAAAAAAAAAAGGAAAAGAAAATTTTTAAAAAACCTAGGGGCTAACAGATGGCATGAAAGTTAAGATGGCTAGATCCCACATGGCTGACTGTGTGGTTCGAGTCCCAGATTCAGTGGCTTGAAAATCATGCCGTGTGTGTGTGTGTGCATGCCCAAAATACCAAAAGGAGAATGGAGGGGAAAGAATTGCACCATGGCCATCCACCCTGGGGGATGCTTTCTCATCCCCTGTCTTTCTCTCCCTCTCTCTCTGGTGAACACATGCCCTATAGCAACCTAAAAAAACCAAAAAACAAAAAAAAAACAGGCAAAACAAAAAAAAAAAACAGGGACCAGCAGTTAGCGGAATGGCTGTCGCTGGACTCCCATGTAGTCGACCGCGGTTTGAGTCCTGGACCCAGTGGCTTAAAACTCACACTAGACGCATGTGCGTGCGTTCCCAAGATCCCGAGAGGAGAACGAAGGAGAAGGGATTGTGGCGTGGCCATCCCCTTGGGGGGTGATTTCTTGCTTTCTGTCTCTCTCTGTCTGGCGAGCACCCTATAGCAAAAAATCTCTCAAAAAAAAAAAAAAAAAAAAAATAATCCTGCACCCACCCATTGCAAACAGCAGGATATTCAAGACTCCTGATTTATGATCCACCCAAGGGCAGGTGTGGAGGCCCAGGAAGGTCACAAGGACCAGCCCCTCAACCCTCTCAATGCCCACTCATCTATCATACTTGCTCACAGGGATCCTCTGTGCAGTTAACAAGGCTTCAAGCAGCAGACGCCTGGCCTCCTCCAGCCAGACATAAATTCTGCACACCCAACACCTTCCCTCCTCTTTCCACCTTCAGTAAGAAAGTAAAGGACAAATATG